AAAAAAATAAATCAAAAGAATATATTTAAAAAAAAAAAAAAAACTCCCGAACTTGGCCCATTGAAAATTTTATATATCCTAGATTGTGGCTGTGATCTCAATTTGTGCCACGATTTGTCTAGATTGATACAGTGGTTTGGACAAATTGCATTAATGCGATCTCCTCTGATTGTGCTAGCAATCCATTTTTTAAGATTTTTTTCAAGTATTTTGAAAAAAAAAAAGTTTAATATTTAAATTTTCTTTAGATTTTAAAAATTTTCTTCATCATTTATAAAATTATCAAATATTTTGATTGAAAAATTGCTAATGTTTTAGAAGAAATTTTTTTCATACTCTTAAAGATTTATTTTTTTGTTTTACCAAAATGAAGAAATATTGAAATTAAAAATGTTTATCTAATAAATATATAGGGGTAATATGGTCTTTTCAAAAGGTAACTCCAGTCAATCCTCCACTTTAGGGGTAATATTGTAGTTTTAATTTAAAGTTGGTGTGGGGGTTCAAGTGTTTATTTTGTGTGTTTCAAAGGGTGTTTATGTCAATTACCAAAACAGAAATGACTATCAAGTAACTAGCTAGAAATAAAAAGAGCAGTAGTTCAAAGTAAAGAGAGATCCAATACAAGATGATAATAAATATTAATGAATAAGAAGATAAGTTTGTGAATTAACAAATGGTTGTCGATCGAGTGAATGTTTGGAGGATTAAATCATGTAAAAATTGTGTAAGTGTAAATGAGACGATATTTAGAGGATGGATCCTTGCTTGTGTTAATAATTTCATTATAAATTATCATCCCAAGCTCAAAGATGGAAGTAAAGAATCTATTATAGACATGCATTACATTAATTTTATAAATTAATCTGTTAAAATAATTCTTTTTATCCAAACCCATATTAAGTCTGTGGTAAGATACATTTCGAATGCAAGGTATATGACTTTTAATTTCTTTTTCTCCTTTAGTTATCCTTTGCTTAACTTAAACTCCATTCTAAAGCACCATTAAAGAAGATATTCAATCCTCCCTTACACAGTGGCGGACCCAGGATTTTTGTTGAGGGGGGGTCTCTGCGGCTCCGCCGTTGCTTGTTAACTAACTATTGAAAACTTAAAAAAAAAACCATCTAACCTTAAGCAAAGAAAATAATACAATATCAAGAAGTTGAAAGAAAATGATGCAATAACACATTACTTTCTTACTTAAATAAATCTACAAAAAGCAAAACCTTGAAAGCAAATATGTAAAATCACATCCAACTTATAAGGAAACACAAGAAAATTTTGATGTAGAAAAACCTCTTAAATGCGAAGAGAGCAAAAAATCACAAGAATCTAACAATCTACTTAAATTCAATATAATCAAAAGAGTTCACATCAACCACAATCTACCAAAAATATTCTATACAAATTTAAAGTCCAATCACAACTCTAACACAAGTCAAATATATAAATATTTATAAAGAAATAAATTAAAATCACCAGAGAAGCAGTCAAACTTTAAGCTTATAACTCCAAATCCAACTATTAAAATCAAAACTCAACCATCGAGATTAAAAATTTAGCAAAACTTTGCCTCATTTACTCATCAGCCAAACATATTGCAAAAAATATACTTAAATTAAAAAATTAGAATTTAGAGCAATATTACTAAACGAGAAGGAGGTTAAAAAACCATAAAAGTTTGCCTCATTTTCTCATCAATCTAACGATTAAAAACACCTTAATAAATTAAAATAAACAAACCATAGTATTCAGAGCAAAATACAAAACAAAAAAACTGTCAAAAAAATGAACAAAACTTAACACCATTTTCTCATCAACCTAACATACTAAAAATAGCTTAATAAAATAAAATAAAAACTATAGAATTTAGAGAAAATTACGAAAGATAAAGACAGTAAAAAAAAAATAATAATAATAATGAACAAAACTTTGCCTCATTTTCTCATCAAGGAAACACAGTTAAACGAAAAATAACTAAGAATTCAGAGCACAAAAATAAAATAAAATAACACATTAAAAGAAAAAAGTGGAAAAATCAACCTCATTTTCTCAGTAACCAAACATACAAGAAACAATTGAAAAGAGCAAATACCTTAGAATTTAGAGGTTGCAGTTGAAGAGAAAAGCGAGCGTGAGTTTATGTTCAAAGATTAGGTCTTGTATAGTTGCACAAAATTGATAATTATTGGTTTTGAAAGAATGATTCATTCTTTCAATTATTTGTATAAGTTTTTGCTTTTTATTTTTTTTTTTATTTCAGAAAATTGGTAAAGGTCATTTGTAGAACTGGGTTTTGATTAATATTATAAAATTTATTCTTGATGAATTTTAGGAGAACTTTATGACAGTCTGTAAAACTTCAGGAGAACTCTTGTCAAAGTTGAATGTTTTTACTAAATTTCAAAGGACATCATTGCTAGGAATGAGTACTTAAATTGTTTCTGCAAAAGCTTCTGAGTTAAGAGAAAGAGATGGTGTATTGCAGAGGCATTTTTGCATCATTAAAGTTGCGGTGGTTTTTGTTGCATAAAATATGGTAGTGAAAAATGAAAATGCCCTCTGTTCTTGGATTCTTCACACTCATTATTTGGTTATCCCATAAAATTAAAAGTAAAAATTTTTAAATTTTTATTTACTCATTTGAGGGTAGGCTCAGCCTACTCTCAAATGGCCTGGTCCGCCCCTGCCCTTACACTCCTTTTTGATTGAAGGGTGGTGTAGTTATTTGCTACATCAGATTCTTCTTTTTCTTTTTCTTTTTCTTTTTCTCAATTGTTTCATTGACACCCTTTTGTTTTTCAAGTTTTCTGTTAACTTTTTATATTGGATAATTTTTTTCTTTTTGTTGTGCATATGTATATGTGGTAGAGATATTGTAAATTCAATTTTTTGACTTAAAAATTCTTACACTACCTAACAACTAATGTTTCATATTTGTACAACTCGATAAGCGAAAGAGTCACTGAATAGACATTAAGAGAAAATTATCTTTTAACTTCATTCTCTCAATTAACCATCAGAGTATACTTATTTGATGAACAATTACAATTATCATTTAAGCAAGGAAAAGTTGGTGAAGTAAACTGTTTAGGCAAAAAATCGTATTAGACTTCTAACAAGCCCAACAGTACTTGATTCCACCTCAAAGACCATCAATAGACAAGCCCGTGCCTCGACCCAACTCTAGTTGATCCTATATTACAACTTCGTGCCTCAAGCCAACTCTTATTGGTCCAAGCTTACGGCTCCGTACCGCAGTCTAACTTTGGTTGGCCCTATTCCAGACAATGTTTTAAAATCCAACCAAAGATGAAACCCGGCAAAGTTGTCGGGTCCCAAGTTGACACTGACAAAAAAATTTTAAAATTTAGCAAATATACCCCTAAAAATCTATTAAGTCCATATAGGTTTGAAATTTAGCAAACACACCCCAAATACAAATCGGCCAACGACTACATGGCGGAGGCGACATCCCAAATGAAACCTCAATTGTACCTTGAGCCCATTCCCCTGAAAATCTATCCAAGATCTGGTCGATATCGGTTCGATTTTGGCCAAATCTCATCGATGCCGACATCAGCATCCGAGGCCAGATTTCACCGACACCAGCGTCAACAACCCTCCCCATCACCCCAAAAATACTCCCCTTTTCATCCCGACCAAAACCCACCTCACTCTACCCTCGTTAGCTTCGCAATCGCCAACAAAAGCCGGTTGTTGCCGCTGCCAGTATTTTTCGATTTCCAACCGATTTGCTCATCAGAAATCAACTCTATCACCATCATTGCACTCACCAGCACTTTCTTTTCAAAGCCCCAACATTTCGGCCTTCAATTGTTCGTCGATCGTCATTTCAAATTCTAAGGTTTTAAGTGAATAGGAATAATGTAAACCTGACCAGATGAAGCTTCTAGATCCCGGTTAAACCAGTTAAATCGGTCAGGCCGAGCCGAGTTTTATAACAATGATGTCAGGTCCATTCCTTAAAAGGCCTATTCTACGAGTCGGCCCACTCTATGAGCTTGGCTACTCCATGAGCCAAGCTTCTCTACGATCTGGGTCGTTCTACCTATCAAACCCGTCTACGAGTAAGGCCCAGCGCTCATTCACTACTCCGAGTCTAATTAGGAGTCCAGTTTCTCAAGAATTCGAGTCCCATGATGACTCCTCACTCCTCAAGGATCCAAGTCTCATGAGGATTCCCCGCTAGGTAGGACTCCTAGTCGTACAAGAGATCCTACTCCTTAGCATTAAAAATATTATATAAATTAATCTCATTTTATCTCTTTTTTCTATTTTTAAAATAATCCTTTTTATCCACAGATTATGTTTGTGGATTTCGAATGCAAGTTATATGATTTTCAATTTCTTTTCTCCTTTGGTTATCCTTAACTTAAAAACTCCATTCTAAAGCACTATTAAAGAAGATATTCAATCCTCCTTTAGAATCCATCTTTTTGACTGAAGGGCAGCGTTGCAATTTGGTACGTCACATTCTTCTCTTTATATTCCTGCAGAGTGTTTCATTGACACCCTTTTGTTTTTCAAGTCTTCTTCTAACTTCTTATATTGGATAATTTTTTTTCTTTTTGTTGTGTACTTGTATAACCAATAACTAATGTTTCACAGTTATACAATTCAATCTCTCAATTGACCATCAGAGTATTCGTATTTCTATACACTCTAATTCCGAACACTATCCAAAGAAACAGTACCATACGGACCCTTTATACAAAGTACAAACCATTAAAAATATGCAACTTCACCATAGAGATTGTCAATAATTAAGGCCAGCCATTCAAGTCTAACGATGAGAAATGCCATGAAAACCAGATTCAGTTGAGAAATTTACAATCCTGTTAGAATTCCAAGCTAAGCTTTCAGGATTCAAGAGACGGGGCAGAAAAATGCTCATAATTAGAAAGATAAGTTTAGAATCAACAAGTAAACACCAAAATAATACTGATAAAAAAAAAAAAAAAGTTGGCATGGGACATGTATTTATATTAAGAATGAAAGAATGTACTGCTCTATTATTTTTATGAACAAAGCGGAAAAAAATTGTACAATCTTCTAACTTGCTATATAAAAAACTTTTCAAAATTGAATAACTAAGAAAATGTTCCTACGCCACAACAATCTGCTTAAAAAAAGAACTGCAAGCACCGTCGCTGCCAAACTTCACAATTTGAAATGAAAGACAATGCCCATAAATATCACCTAACTTCATGTAAACACAAGCAGAGCAGGCATCCACTTATCATTTTTCAACCCCACACCTTTATACTTCACCAACTTTTCCCTGCTTACGCAACTGTTGCTGATCTGGGATTACGACCACGCCCACGTCCCGATCCCCTTCCACGACCACGCCCTGCAAAACCCCAAGTAAACATTTATTATGATAGAATCAGCATCAACAACTATGCAAGTGAATAACCAAAACTCAAAACAAGGGAGGATAATGCTCTTGGCCACCAAGACCGAAGAAAACAGTCCAATGCTTAAAAAAAAAAATCGAGCAAAGCAACGTTTAAAGGCCTAATAAACAATACTGAACAATAACGCTTTTGGGAATAAGATATGACCTGACCAAGTAGGTATTGCTACATACAAGCACTAAATACTGATTTTAGTGCAAACACAAGAAGAGATTAATGAAACCTATTGCTTAATAAGGATTCTCATTCTTTACAAAAATGTTTAAAAATCAAAGGAGCTTGTTTAAATAAATATATGCATTACTTGATACATATAACCCCTCTAAGCTCATACTGGATGAACATCTGATAGTAACAAAAAGCAATTTGTGCAATGCTCAAGAAACTTACCACGACCCTGTGGAGGTGGTCCATCATATTCACCATAATCATAATACCCACTGGACTGACCACCATAACCCTCCTCTACCCCGAGAAGAAGGCCTCTTGCACGTCCCGACCTCTACCACGTCCACCATCCCAACCACCCATTATAATCTCCTGCACCATTTTAATTTACTTACACATTAAATGAGCAGATCATGATCATTTCAGCTATTATATGTAGCTGTCAAATATGTACATAATAGAAGTAAAATGCCCTCATATAATCAGCAGAGCTTTCATAAAGGCAAAAGTTGATGGGATTTAAAACCCTTTTTACTTTTTCATATCTGATTAAATGAGTGACAATACTCAAATTCTTGAATTGAATGTGAATGCAACCGGTTTTCTGAAATCAAATACATAATAAGCTCAAAATATTCAATTTAACCCTGTTTTGCTTTTGTGACACTGATTCCAGCTTCTGTTTACAAAAGAACTTGCAAATACAATTTGCAATGAAAGTAAATACACATCATTTGAAAGCATATAACATGATGTAATTTAAGTAACTGTCAAAAAGTAGAGAGTCATACCTCTACCCCTACCCCTTCCTCGACCACCACGCCCTTACCTCGTGCCCTTGGTGAACCCTCTGAGATCATAAGACAAAGAGCATATAAAATCAAAAACTCTACCAGAATTAAAGACTTAAGACTTGTAGACAAAAGAAGTTTGTCACCTCCTTCATCTTCAAATTATTCCACGGTTTCACTTGATCAGCAGGAAGAGGAGGCTGGTATCTGCAGTCACAAAAATAAAGGAATTTCAATATACTGCTAGTAATTACATCAAGGCTTAATAGCAGCAATAAGCATTATGGGGTTTTGACCCCATAATTAGTTTTTTACAAAAGAAATGTACAAAGTATTCCATATACTGTCAAAAAATAGGGAACAGAAAGTAAGCATTCATCCTAATACAAATATATTGAAATTATTTCAGTTCCAGCAGAAGGCAGAAGATACTTTCAGACTCATATTTCACTCACTAACTCAATGGACCATTTAGTCATCACAAAGGATGTACAGTTCCACATTCACATTTATTAATGTATTAAAAAAATGTATTTAATTAGCCTTTTTGTCCTTAGAAGGAAAACAAAGCAGCATACTCATTTTAACCAAAACTTGGTATCTTCAGAGTCACAACATAACTCCACATACATATCAAAAAAAAAAAAAAAAAAAGCATAATGTAGAAAATAAAACAAATAGAAGCATCTAAGCGCATAGCGCCATAGCCCAATTAACAGTTCAAAATGTACATTTAAAAAATAGATAATATGACATACGTTCACTAAAGAAGAAACAAAACCTTCACAAGTTGTCACTAATTGTCCTGAATCAAATCCACGTTTTTAAATTTGAATGTGGATAGAAATTCACATAAGATATGATGATCAAATGGATTTGAATTCAAAGTCAAGCCTCTGTCCATGTAACAAAACTTGGGTATTGGCAATTCATACCGAATATGACCATAAGTATTACTAAAGAAACATCAAATCTATCAGTCAAACCAGAATAAGACTTTCTCCTTTCTGTAACTATTACCACAAACCAAACTTGCACTTACACAATGAATAATAACATATTCATCAACAGACAAATGTGTACAAGAAGTTATAGGGTATACCTAAAAAATAATAATTTTTTGCATTGTATACCATCTAATAGGGCCAAAATTCAAAATAATGGTAATGGATACAGCTATATTGGCAGCAAACTACTCTCAGTTACTTTAAATCTTTCTTCTTTCTGAAAAAATAAGAAAATAAGATTGATGGCAAATAGTAACTCTAATAGTAAGCAACATGTAGTAATTACGAAAAAAAATGAGGGTCAGATTCAAGTACAATATTGAAAAATATCACACAAGGTATTGGAAACAGAGAGAAATCAAAATGAAATGACTCAACCGTAAAATATACAAAAAGACATCATTCAAACACTACATAATATTATATTTTATTATATCTATGCAATATGTATTAATTGCATACAAATACAGAATATAGTATGATTTTACTAGACACATTTACAATTGATAATTGGACCAAAAAAAGAAAATTCACACATCTAAAAGTATAAACAAACCCTTAAATTCAAAAACAAATTTTAAGGATACAATTAAAAATTTAATTGTATTCCCCTATTTTCAACAAGAAAATAAGAAGAAATAAATTTGAAAAAATATGTTCAAATTTAGAAAACTTGAAAAATGTCTTCATCCTTGGTCTTGAAAACATTTTTCTGCATGAATTTCCAAATATAGTATCAAAAAAGGCAGCAAAAAAATTGTTTTTCTCAAATTTTGGGTCCCTAAAGGGTGTACACCAACTCATTTCTAGAAACACCTTAACCAAACAGGAATTTGAAGATTCTTTGTATCCCCTGTTTTTAAAACAGGCATCCAAATTGAATACCAAGAGCGACCTTCATTACCCTGTTGATGATGTATTGAGCTCCTTCTTTGACAATGTGATAGTGATCATTGAAACATGGCGAGTAGTTCTGACTGAAACATAACAAAAAAAACAATCAATCATCTCCTATTCCAGAAACTAAAAATAAGGCATTCGATAAACTAGATTAGAAAAGTATGTTTCATACGGAAGAAGTCCTTCTTCTAATGGTCCCACATGTCGTTTATCCGTGGATCCAATTGAAGTGTTTTGATGGAGACCAACAATTCCTCTGAAGAAAAATAACAAAAAATCAAAAGATTAATAAATAAGCAAGACATGGGGCAAAATCACAAGATATCCTTTATTAGTTCGGCAATCATAACAGTTTTCTGATAGCTCTGCCCATTGCTTTAAGAATAATTTCACTGGATCCTTTTCCTACAAAGCACAATACATTATAACTCAATAAAGAAAACACACTTTCAACACCAAAAAACTGATTCAAGTGTTAAGTCACACTGAATCTAAATATTAATTTAACTAGTTCCTTCTTTTGGTAACTTTCAAGGCAAACTACCAATTAACTCATGAAGTTTCTAAGGTTTCCTTCTATGAAGTAAGAAACGTTGCCCTTTGAGCAAAATCAAACCAGAAATGGGAATTGAAAGATTTTTCTTCTTTCAATTTCTAACTTTTTCTAATTTTTGAATCCGGCCATGAGTTCGAATATTAAGTACGAATCATGGTTCAAATACTTCGGGATCTATTCATGTATTCCGTGCTCCATATACTATAACAGTTATCTAACCAAGGCAAAACCATCTCTATCAGGCCAACAGATCCATTCTCTGTACTATCAATAGGATGAAATTTTATTCACTATTCTTTTCTTTATGAATAGGCAAGAATGAATAGTTAATAGATAAAGTCAATATTTTCCTTTATTAAAACCTTCATGTATTGCAGAACTACCAGTCAATCCCATACTAGCTTCAAAAGATGCAGGTTTTTTTTAAGTTTAAACAGACACACAAAGCTAGCGAAAAAAATTCAACATAACAAAATTTACAAAACTTAATGCAAATAAACTGTTTGATCATTTGCCTAACAGAACTTATGAACCAAAAAGACATTAAACGCATCATGAAAATAAACGAACAATACCTGAAGGAGAGTGGTCGCATAAGTAATATAATTTCTCATCCTTCCTTGAGTGGTTATTCGAATCTCATTTTCATTTATAGGTGTCTCAGTTTTCGGCTTCTCCACTCTCTGGTACCTATCCATATCTATTCCAACCCAAAAAACAAACACAAACCCACTTCAAAAAACGCAAAACCCACAGGAAAAGCATCATCTTTACTAAAAAAAAAATCCAACCAAAAACCATAGACAAAATTAGGGTTCTGAAGGTTTTACCGTTCTTAAGAGGCTTTTAACAAAATTAAATTAAAATTATAAGCAAAGCAAGCAGTGCCAGAGACTGAAAGGAGTTAAAAGTTGAAGTTGAAGCTCTTTAGCGTGTAAAATCTGGAGATGGCCTAGTCTTTTGATTGTGAAATTAAGCCCCAAAAGCCTCTTGTGTTGGAGGTTCAATGGGTTTTAATATAGACAGACAGTTGGATAGAATTAAGTAAGATAATTAATTGTTAGATTAAGAGAGGATTAAGATTAAATTAAACCGCTTTCAGAGAGATTAGGGCTTTCTGGTCCCGGTCTTTGTGCCGATTAGACCGCTTTATCTTTCAACTATGGGCTCGGCGTTTTGTTTTGTTTGAAACTGAATGCCCGGTTTGGTAAAAGCTTTATGGAGCGATGAACCAAAACACTGCGTTTTAGTATATGATTGGGTTGGTGGTTACTTACTGAAATAATTACAATTTTTATCCCTTATGTTAGGCCTAATAAAACCCTTGGATCCGGTATCATTTATTAGAAACACTTTAGTCCCTATCAGACAATCAGTATCAGTATCAGATGACAAAACTCCTTTCTACTAACCGCTGTGTGGGTAAAAATTTGTGTTACTAATAGGGATTTAAATATTACTAAAACATTCTACTAACCCAAGTTATTTAGGCCAAACCTTAAGGACAAATCGTTATTTCATCTTATCTTTTAGGGAAATTAAAACCCTGGGATGGAATTGATAAGGATAATACTATTAATACATATTCTCCTCATTTTGATAAATCATCAGGTAGATATTTGGAGTTATGGTGAGATGGAAATGATAATATAAAGCATATTTAGTTATTTTTTAATTAATTATAACAATCTTAAGCAAAATTGTGTTACTTATATCAAAATTTTAGTAGTTGAAAGACATCAATCCCCTCAGATTCGGCATATCAAAAATCCCCTTTCATCAATTGACCGCTACCCTCCTATTTATTTTAACACCAAGGGCTTATTATTATTAAATTAAACCTCAAGAAAATTAAAATCTTTAACTCAATTTTAAGACACCCTTTTATAATTTGTAAATTGTAACATCTGCATAAATAAAGGAAAGTGTGATAGGAGGTAAATTGCCTGATGATTTTATTAAATATTTAAATGTATTTATTCGATTAAGCAAGGGGTGAAATTATGACTTTTCAATTGTAATTAATTTTAAAATAGTTAAATAATTGAACACTGTACTCTTTCACCCATATCCATTTGAGGGTTTAATTTGGTTCTGGCCACCAAAACACAAACCCAAAAATCCATAAATACATTTGCTTGAGCAGAGGAATCAGTAATGTATGCAACAAGAGACCAACAACACATACAATGACTAATCTTTTGCCTGAAAAACTCCCACATGAAATTTAGAAGTCGAGAATTACAGAGAAAAAGCAGAGATTACAAACAGCCCACGTAACGGTGGAGAAAATTACTGTTATTGCAGATAAAATGCGTTGTGTATGAATTAAAAGGTACTAATTTCTTACCTAAAATTAATAACATAAGCCGACATTGCACATGAAAACTATCCGCACCAAAAATTATCCAAGTGATCGACTAATAAGCACCTGTTCGGTTTCAGCCTTTGAACTTGTCTTCATAATCCTGTGGTTTCTGCACGAGAATGAAATGTTATGTGAGAAAAGAGTGACAGAACTGATGCAAATTAGAAACAACAGGATAAGTACGACACAGCTGAAAAATAAACACTACATAATTGAAATTTTCATTTCCCAGGTCACATCCTACTAGAAATTGCCAATTATAAGAAATAACTTTCCCCGTATCTTATAATTAAAATGAATTAACCACCAAATTCTTTTAAAGGGTTCTTAAAGCTAGGCCAAATTGAGCAAGATGATTTCCACATGAACGGCACATGCATTCTCTGCAAGAGATGAATCAAATCTCAGTCTCACAGAGAACAATAAATATTTTAATTCCAACCAGGCGCTTTTGTTGTCAAACATACTTGACCAGCCTGAAAACGTAAAATTCCAATACACAAGTCTCAGGAGAAATATTTTTAAGGGCCCACTCAGAAGACTTCGGAAGCTTGGGCCAGCCATAAGGGCATCAAATTTCTGGGTTAAGATCCAAGAAAAATTGCATGATCCTTTATATCATTCATCATGCAAAAATCTAACTCATTAGAAGAATTTAAAGATATATCTTGGCATCAGTGGGGGATTAAAACAGCAAGAATCTCCCATGGAAAAGTCATTACCATGAATATGGCTGAAATCAATCTGCGTGCAAACCATCTCATATGCATCGCTCGTTGAGCAGCTGCCGCTGCTTCCACAGATTCAAACCGTAGATATACAAAACCAGCGCTGTTCCTGCAAGGCAAATTGACCAATCGAGATCTAAATATAGAGCATATATAGTTCAAAACCTACCATTAGGTTGTCAGTGTGTTCTTATAAAACTGAATGAAGACAAATAATTTGCAACTACAAGGCGGCTTTAATGACAAATATAATTAAGAAGTTTTTTGGTCACTTTCTTGTAAAGTTTTAGCCTCCCTCCTAAGAGAGTGATCAGACAACTTAGTCAACAAATACTTCACTTCTGTTCTTCTCTTTGACTCTTCCTATTAATAAGTTTTTGGGTGCATTTCCTATCCCAAAAAAATAAAGGCTTTCATTTAACAACTATAGTACATAACATATATTTGTTCTTGTTGTTTTATACACAAGAATCCCTCAACCTTTCCAATGTAATCACTGAATTCCACAAAAGACTACTTCCAGACCCTACAATGTCAGCAAACAGGAAACCCGTGGTATATAATACCTTAAGAAGGTCGCCTCAAGGCTCTCAGTTGAAGCCAAGGGTTATTACCACTCAGCCTAACTTTGAGTTATGAAAACATATAGTATATGAACAAAACATAAATGAAAGATCAGTAATAGAGTGTATAAAAATTTAGTTTAGGACTTACTTGTCCACATGTATATGTATCACCCGGCCATATTTGGAACATTCTTCTTCCACATCTCCTTGTATTTCCAAATCAAAATCTGGGTCCGTCTGCATCATACAATTGAACATAACATTAAAATATGTACTTCATAATAGTATGCACTAAGCAAAACAAGAAAATCACAGACCTCTGTAACAGGATCAAACATATTCTTCAACAGTAAACACTCGCTTGGATATCCAATAAATTCAGAGACTGGAGCAGGAATAACTGGAGCTGTAACAGCAGGAATAGGAACTGCAGATTGCCCAATGACAGGCAAGCTCACGGATTGTTGATTTGCAGCAGACCCATTTACCATTGGCACTCCGAGTGAGCCTGCGATACTGCACAAATAGCTTAAATTAAACTTATGAAACACATGTGAATTACTAAAATTAAACATAAAGCTAACATAAACAAACCTTGTGGCTATGCCAGTGCGATCCAGCTTCTGCATAAGCAATGCTCTTGACTGAGCATTTAAAGCCTGAATGGAAAGATATTATACATCACTCAGAAACAAAACCTGTGAAAATTCAAGCACCAACCACAAGACAGGATGCAGTTTTGCATCACAAGATTCCCAGTTTCCTTGAAAAAATGTTGAACAACATGCATAGCAACTGAGCAAGGAAAGCTCAGAATATAATGGGAAAGCTTAACAAGATAATCTCTTCATCATCAGTAAGCTAAACACCATAGGACGAAACCTTCAACAGTGATGCAAATTTTTCAATAGAACTTCTAAAATTACAAGACCTAACATCTAGATCTAATCCTCTTTGCAGTGAAACTGACAATAAGACATATCATAACAAGTTTTTCATGAAACCTAACATACAAAACTTCAACACTATACATTGAAGCTCTTACCATAAATATTAGCAGTACATAAAACTTTTAACAGTTTTTTTTTTATCGTGGCATCTGTATGATTTTACTAGAAACACACCCTGTGTGGACTTGGGTGTTGCAAAGAGGTATGTCACTCAGTTTCACATAATATTTAAGAACCAGCACCATGTTCAATGAACAAAGTATCAAGACAAGTAGTACTTAAAATGAACAAAGTATCATCTGAATGCATTAAAATAACTCTAAATTCAATATATAACTAACCAGCCCACCACCATCATCATCATCAAAGTCCGCAGATTTTGCTGCAGTATCCTGGGCTCCAACATGATCTGTAACAGATGAGACCTACACATGCATACATAAAATCAGTTGCAGAGATGTTGACATGAGTCTCAAGATTAAGGTAAACACTAATAGTCACAAATGAAAAGGATAACAGAAACAAAGTTAAAAACTTATCTTCAGTTCATGCCATAGACTCATGATATTTTTATTTACAGATTCCAAAATTCTAATCATACCTTAATAGTCCGACCAGCAATCTCCAATTTTCCATTCAGAGCACTTTGAGCTGCCTTTGCATGCTCAAGCTGAGCAAACTGTAAAAGTAGAAAGAAAAGCACACCAAATAAATAATCAAGACACAGCAACTACTCAACAAAAAGAATTTTTTACAGTCAATTACTAGGTTTAACAAACCTGAACAAACCCAAAACCTTTGCACTGCCCTGTTTCAATGTCAAGAGGAAGTTGCACAAGCTCAACAGGGCCAAACGGTTCAAAAAGCTGAGAGATCACCAAGAAAGAGATGAAAATGTTTATAACAAGAGTTAAATTATTTTAAGAAAAAAATTAATACATACAGAAAAAGGTTACTCTTGAACAAATGACTCAAAAGTATTTGGAACATGAAAAACTTAAGAAAATTTTATTCTCTAACAATGGAACTATATTGTACTAGTGTTTAAAACCCATCACTATGATAACCTCCAAATCATATTCGTAAAGAATAGAACCAGCCAGGTCGCCACTCGTCATGACCATGATAAAGCAGTAAAAATTTTGCAATTATATGTTGATCTCTATTATTGTTTCGTCAGAGGTTAAAATGACATAGTGCCAACTTACAAACTAAAACAGTCTTGAGCTCAGATCTATATAGCAAACAAGGTCATTTTCATAAATTAAGAGGATTACTCTTATATCAAATCACATTACCCATGAACTAATTTAAAAACTTTACTATGACACAATCAGTTTTGAAAAACTGGTCTCTTAGTGGAAAAAGCTTGTGCCTAAATGTTGCCACCAATTCAATAAATTTAAAACCATTTATTTGGCTGAAAGAAATATTAGACGCAGGCCAAGTTTCAGGGTCTTAAAGCCAATCCTAACAGACAGAGCAATTCTGTGTCCTATACAAACTAAGGAGGCAAACCAAAAAAATTTGATGAATCATTGGCTTTTCAACCCCAA